ATTCCCTACTCAGGATTTTAAATTATTGTGTTTACTTCGTAAATAAATTTATCTTTTGGAGCAACGTCCGGCCTTAGAGCTTTTGCTCTTTTGCTTCAGGGGAAAAAAGGAGCAAACCATGTAAAATGGTTAGCTCAAGTGATTTACGTGGATGTGTACCATATATGTGGCTATCAATAACATCCGGAAAACAAAACTACTTCCTTGCTTTTTTTGGGGCGCTCTTTGCCTAAGCAAAATTAAGGAGGACCTTCTTTTAAAGTTCAAGAAAAACCTTTAGGAAGGATCAAGGCACCAAAAATTCTAAGCTTTTTTCGGCTTCTGTTACCTTTTGCCTCCAGCTCACAGGAAATGCCTCCTCTCCTCATTTACGTGAATAGTTCACCTGCAGCTTAGAACATGCGAGGAGAGAACCAAAACTATGGAATTTACTTGTGACTTTTTGTGAAACAGTTTGAACCATAGAGCTTTGTTTAAGAACGATTCTGAGAGTACTGCATTTACGCAATAACTCTGCCAATCATCAAAAACATTGATATGTTCTCTTTGCCTGACCAACGTCACGGGCCTAGGCAGTAGATGATTAATTTTGTCGACGTAATAGCATTATTGAGGTATAAATTGTGTTGTCCGAATCCTTAATTTCATACCTTGATATTCTTAATCTCATACCTTAATGTCTTTTCAACCTCTTCAAGTGAACTGTTACAGCTGCGCCCTACAAACTTTTTGTTCGGAGAGGTGCGCAATCTGTTTAATTAGCCAAAAGGAGCGATTTTTCTGAATGGTATGGTTTTGTATGTGTAGAATGCATAGATTGTTTACTCCACATGTGCAATTTTATAACTACTGAGTAGACACTTTATCTTAGAGCTATTTTCATCAAAATGCAATTCAATAAAAGTTTAAATGAGCATAAGTTGAGAATTTCTAAAACAGGCTGCGTTTTAAATCAGTGTTTCACTATTGCTATTTACCGATTGCCTACTTTCACTTCTGCACCTCCAAGAACGTTTCTTGAATAAGCATGTTTTGGACCATGAGCAATTAAAACTTTGACTGCAAATGGTGACGCCAACGCGATATTGACGTTCAGTCATTTTATTGAGAAGTAATGCAATGTTATTTGCAAATCATCATCTTCATGTTCACGCTTGTATCACATATCTCTTCTAATTTCTTCCATTTACCAACAGAGTTTTTTCCTTTTGTTTATTCGGAAAAATCCCAAAACTTACTCATTTCTTTAGGTTTTCAAGCAAAAACAAATGGATTTAATGGCACATTTTGAACGTGCTCAACAAGCGCTGAATATGCAACATCTCCAGCAGTACTACCAAACCCTTCAACAACACGCTCAGCAACAGACCGCTAACAATGCTGCGCAAGCTGGTCCGGAAAGAATGGATGAAGGAATATGTGATGCAGCTGGTGGGCATACAATCCTCTGATCGACATGAGGAACGATTCTGAATTTAAGTGGCTCCGCTGGCACTTGCGTCATCTATGGGAAGCCTACTCGGATCGAGCCAATCGCCAACCACTTCACGCGAACCACCACTTCCGCAAAGAGTGCGAAGGTGAGTCGTTCTTTCTGTTTTGCATTGTTAATCTCACAGCATATTTTCAGCGACCATCGTAATGCATCCTCAAACTCGTCTTCTCAAACAATCTCGCAGCATACAAAAGATCGCCTAAAAAACATGATTGCTCAACGAAACAGGGAAGGAAGTCAAACGAACCTAGCCGGTACTCCACCCCAACAGCACGCTCCAATGAGCCCACAGGTGCAATATGTCTTTGAAAAATTTTCGTATAAACAGCAGACGATAATCCGCTTCGAAACAGAATTGTTCTAAGATTATAGGTGAACGTGTCATCACCTCACTTTGAACCCTACCGCGTACCCGCTTCACTGCATACAGCCCAAGCTGTCAGCTCTCAACCATCTTCGGAATATCAACTTCGGAAAGTGAATAGCGAGCCGAATCTTAAGATGCGTATCCGAGCGAAATTACTAAGTAAAGGGTCCAGTCCAGTTCAGAACCAGAACAACTTTAGTTTCACACATCCGCAGTTGAAACGGCAAGTTCTCTAGTGTTTTGGTGTCTCTCCTTTGTTATTCATCGCTTCATATTCCCTTGATCATGTGTTAAAGAAGTGACAGCGAAACTTCTGGGAATGGTAATACAGCTGGAAATTTGGCTATGGATGCGCTTCTGACGAATGCCGCCACCGCCTTTCCTCCTCATCTGATCATGCCGTCGCCAAGTTTGCCGAACCTTGCTGCCCCCACTCTCGCGCAAGCTCCACAGCTTCCTATTGGTGAACTTATTTTGTTGGTAATAAAACTGATGGGTAAATGTGTATTTTGTAGATCTAGCTTCTTTGATGGCAGCCGCTCAGCTTACTCCATTTCTAAGCCTCCCAAGTCTCTTCAAAACTCATATTGGTCTTGGAGCAGGCTTACTAGAAGACGACGTTGCGGATCGAGCCAAATTGAATCCTGGCGTCTGTACTCTTGGAGCACTCTCGCAGCAGTTGCCAGTCTTTGGAAATCCCTCTTTGCTCAAGCAGCAGCTCAGAGAACTTGTGCTTAGGAGAAAAAGTCTTGTTCGGTAGGGATTGTCTGTTTTGTCAGTCTTAGATTCCTTTGAAATTTCACCACCACACATTTCTCTTTCTTATCTTATTACTTGTTCAGTGAAGAACCAGAAGATGACGACTCACTTTCTGCACAACCAATGCTGTCTCCTGGTCATTTGCCAACTTCTCTTGGACTAGGTGATATGTCAGGAGGAAAGGCTACTGGTCTTGCTTACGACTCCAGTATGGCACGACATGAGTGTGTTTGCGGTGAAAGCAGTTCACACGTTGAACACGGAGGAAGAGTACAAAGCATTTGGGCTCGATTACTAGAACGCGGACTCGTCCAAAAGTAGTTACCGTGTGTTTGGAATCTTCCTTGCTCTATTATGTTTTTGTTGAGGTGTGAAAGAATAGCCGCCAAAAAAGCATCTTTGGAACAGCTTCGTATGGTTCACTCTCCAACCTATGTTACATTCTTTGCTGTTTCGCCAACGGCGTGCTTGAAGATGGAGGCATCTCAACTTCCGCTCAAGAGCTTTGTCCAAGTACATTGAATTTGCAGACATATAATGTTGTCATAATAGTACTTCATTCCAGTTGCCTTGTGGCGGAATTGGTATAGATTCTGACACGTACTTCAACGATGCAACCACCCAAACCGCTGCTCGTGTGGCTGCTGGATCACTAATAGAGTTGGCTTCGCAGGTGTGTTTTACTTTAGGATTATCCGGTGAAGAGGTGCTGCATAGAAAAAAATGTGTTCTACGTTCGTCTCATGCAGTAAACTTTTTCATGCCTCATCTAG